TCCAAGGTCTGTGGGCAAATCATCTAACTTGACCTCAATCCGAGGTTGTTTAAAAGCACGAGACCCGCTAGCTTCATTATGAACTACATCACGACTTCCTCTTGTAACAATAACAAAATTATACATGGACATTGTATCTACAGAAAATGTAGAAATCATAATATGATTATAAATATGAACATTAGAATATGCCAATATTTAATATTATAATATGCTAACTGAAAAACGAAAAAAAATCCAAATTGGTTATTATTATTTCCCCCTAGTTACTATACAAATATAAAATTAATAACATACAAAAAGTAAAACTACAGTATTAGTTGTTTAAACGTGAAGTACGTTTAAGTACTAGAGATTAAAAATACAAAACTAACAATAATATTACGTATTAATTAGGCTTTAATAATTTAAGAAAAAAGAAATGAATAAAACCTTGAGAAGTTGAGTTGATGTGAATTCCAGATTTCCAGCTTCGGTCCTCTACTGCTCAGTCTGCTCTGCAATTTCATCCACACATAATACATATTTAAATAAATAAATTAAATAGATTGATTGTTTTATTGTTAAATAACAATAATAATTTTGAACAGTAAATGAATTATAACAATAACTAGTAATTACTAAAGCTTTAATGTTAGAGAAACAAAAAACCTGAAATAGAGCTAAGGAGTGTCAATAGCCATTCCCAGAAGTGAGCCGCTGAGAAGATACGTACGTGCGTAATGCGTTGCGGCTGTTTTGGAAGAAAAAAGGGAAATAGAAGTTTTATAAAAAAAATTAGATGTAGCCTTTGGGGGATTCGAACTACGGACCTGAAGCCTAATGAAGCATCTACTATTTTTGCCAGTACCAAATAGGCTAGTGAAACTTTTTTATGTGAAGCTAGTGCTTCACCTAGTTATAGTATAGGTCCGCCCCTGCCAAAGAGGAAAGCAAAACTTAAATATGGGAGGGAGGGAGTTTATTTATGTATAAATTCTAAATGTCTATAGTTTGTTTTGCATACGACATAGTGGGTACCAGAGGCCGGAGAATCCCGTTCCTGGAGATTGTGGATACAACTTGCATGCACACAAGTTAACTCTTCCTCACCCTATTACGCAAGAGGTTAGTTAGTTCATTACGTCATGTACAATTTATATGCCCAACTCGAAACATGGCTCTTGTTGTATACCACAAGAGTTAACTAATATATGTGCTACACTGCTACTTGGTGTCCTTTGCGCAAAAAGAATGGATGAAGGTATAATAATGTGACAACATTTTGGGGTTGAAAACTTGAAATTACTCCGTATTATTTTATCCTCACTTTAAGGGATTGACAACTTTAATGCTAGAGTGAAATAATAGTTTTACCCCTATTTTAAAAAAGTTATTGTGAAAACTGCTAAATATAAAGGGGAACTGATGAAAAGGTTCAACCTGTTTGTTACTGCAGCTGGTTACAATTACTGCACCTCTACCATCCATCCTCAAGGCAGGTCCTGAAGCTTCTCTCTATCACCATTGCTCGGGATGAATTCACAACTCCTTCATTGATTTTCGATACACTGATGAGTATAAGATTCAAGATTGCTTGATCGAGATGAGATGACAAAAATTCTCAGTTGAAGGAAGTGCATAATTATTAAAAATTAGTCCATTAACTTCGAGTCATGTGTTGTATTTACTTGGAGTAACGTTTCTTATCAACCCAAACAGTTAACAAGATTTGGCAGGTGCAGGGTAAGAACATTAAATTCCTATATTTACCATGGTTGCTTTTCAAAATGTCATTTTTAATATGAAATATCTTGACTCAAACTACCCATACTTACTGTGCCAGTCACCCTAGAGTTTAGATGAGAAACAGTGTATGTAACCCATGTTTATCATAATATTTGATTCCATGTTCCATATTTTATTTTTACTTTTATTTTCTACTTTGTGCTTTAAGAGGGGTGCAAAGTCTAGTATTAAGGTAATTAATGAGGTCCCAAGCGAAATGAATGTGGTGTGGTGAGGTGTTACCATTGTGGTGCAAAAGTCTAATAAAAGTTAAAAGTAACCCAAAAACATACGAAATAATTGGGTGCAAAAGCAAAGAAAAATAAATTAAACTCAAATACGGAAGTGATGCACCATTACACGAGTAGAGAGGTAGATAGAACCTATGTTGCAAGGATATGGATACGCGAATACGGGTACGGCGATACGGCAATTTAAAAAATTATAGGATACGGGTACGGGAGTATATTTATAAATAATAAAAATATAGGGTTTAATTTGCAAATATATACTACGTATAATTCAGGGATTCATAAATAAAAAAACTATAGTACAAAAAATAACTAATATAATGAAATTTTAAAGATTAAGCTAAAAAATCTAAAGTGCTGATATTTCGAATTAAATTGAAATAATATGTTTTGTTCTCTATTTGCATCTACATCTAAGTTTTGTTTCAATTAAAGTTATTAAGCGATAAAATGACAAACTATAGTATTCCGTTATTTTTCATACATCCGAAATCATCTTTATCAATGTTCCGTATCTTGTGGTCGCTTGGGCGGCTACTAAATTTTCGTCATGTCGTTTATGAAATGAGGGTTATAGGAGCGGATACGCGTATCAGTTCACGGATACAGGTATCGGAAGTATCGATATTTTTGAAAATAAGCCCGATACTTTTATTAAATTACAGATATGGACCCAATACGTATAGGACGTGTATTGGTGAGTATCGGTATCGGATACGTATCGGATACGCGGATACGGCATCGGGGTGAAATATCGGTGCACCGTACGATAGAACTCATAGAGGAGAGGAGGCAAGGAGAAGAGGGAATGGAAGACCAAACAGGTGTGGAGTAGAGGACTTTTTTTTTTCTTGAATTGAATAAAAGCATGATTCTGAAGAGAGTAAAGTGGAGAGAATATTCATCTTTATTATTTTATCATTTTTTATCTTTGTCTTATTTCTTATATTGTTATCTTATTTTATATTTTTTTATGTTTTTAGTTCTAATGTCATGTGTCGACAATGCATATTAGTCGACTCCAAACTCTTTTGAGACTAAGGGGGGTGTCCTCATTAAGCATTTTGATGGATTTTTAAAGACTATGAATTTTAAGGATTTTAATGGAATTCTAAAGATTCTATGGGACTCTCTTAGAATTCTATGGATTTCAATAACATGGAATTATTTGGATTTCGATAGATTTTTAACATCTTATCTCCCCACCTTCTCCCAATCCCCACGACCCTACTTCTACTTTTTAACGTACCACCTACTTCCATCGCTCTGCATTCATTGATTCATCTTCTCAAATCTCAAAGACTTAAACCATTCAAAACACAATATGGTCTTTTCAATAAACTGCACGAAGGGGATCTAGTGGATTTCAAACCACAATTTGGTCTTTCCAATAAACCATTCATTTGTTTTTGTTTTCTAGGTTGTTCTTTGAACCCCATATGAAAACCTCTTGACTGCCAGTGGATTGCTTCATCGTTCCAGCAAGGACAGCCTCCCTCGCCGGCGACGGCCGGCCTCCCCCCACCGGCGACCGCAGATTCAAGGTCGATTATCCAACTCTTGGACGGCCAGCTTCGTTGATGTGTGGTTGTGTCCTTTTAGTATCTCTTTATCGGTCTCTATGGTGGATTTTAAAATCCGACTAATATGCCTAAGATTTCTCATAGAGCTTTTTCTACTTATAATTCCATGAGAATCAATTAAAATCCATCTAAACAAATGATAATTAAAATCCATGGAATGTTTGAGAACACCCATATTTCCATAGATTCTTTAGAAGTCCATTAAAATCCAGATTGAGAACACCCAAACTTTGATGGGATTCTAAATTCCATTAAAATCCTTAAAAATCCATATTGGGGACACCCCCTGACTAAGACTTGGATGAATGTTGTTGAGCGAATTACATAAATAAGGATGCATATCATTTTTAGGGCTCTGGAGTTGATAAAACAACGTAGTCAAGAATGACAAAGTGATTTTTATTCAAAGATTTGAGTTTTATACTTAATAATTTGGGAGGTAATCCTCAAGCACTCAATCAATTATGTTTGCACCCCCTAGGCCCCTATGTTGCTAAATACACTGGGTAACCCTAGTGGACAAAGAAAAGTGAAATTGAGAATATAAAATTAGTACCAAATGCTTAAAAGTAGATACAAAATGCAAGTCTTCTCATTTCTTATGCTCTTTTAGGGATATCTTTTATTTGCTATAAAAAGTGTGACTTGTCTAAAGATTGATTCACAAAAATTTGCAATGACCATTGTTGAAAATCACCAGTGTCAAAAACACTTTTTACATGGATTAAAAAGAACTTTTAATCTCTTCAAAAAAAAAACTTTTAATATTGTTTCTGGTAACAATAACGAGATAGTAGCAAGGTATATTAAAAGTTGGGAAAACTATGAAATAAGTCCTCCTACTATGTACAAAAAGTTAATTAAGGGAGTGTTTGCAACAGCTTCTGCTTAAAAAAAGCACTTTTGGAGTGATTTGGAAAAAAGTGATTAGTAGTAAAAGTTGATAGTGTTTGAGAAAAAAGTGACTTTGAAAAGTAAAAGTTGGTAGTGTTTGGTAAAATAAGTGTTTTTTGTATAATAGAAAAAGGAAAAACACTTTTCACACGAAAGTCGAGAAATGTAAAAAGTGGTAATATTTGATAAATAAATGTCTTTTTAATCAAAAAACCGAGAAATGCTTTGTTTTAAACTCTTGCAAACCAACCCTAAGTCATTGTACTCTAAGGATGTTTTTACTTGGACTGTAATTTGCCCCAGACCAGACCAGACCAGACTTGGATAGTTATAAAAATACAAAGAAACCAGACCTTACCAGACCAGACCAGACCAGACAAGACCAGACCAGCAAATTACAGTCCAAGTAAAAACATCCTAAAAACACCCGATTGAACCCTATACCTTTAAAAAACGTTCAATTCGGCGTTTTATTAGATAGCAAATTCGCAATCCGGTTTCCCGATTGGTTACACACGTGGCAGCTCGTTAACTGTTCTAGTACTGTGCGTTTACTAGAACAGTGTAACTTCCGCCATCATTTTAAACTCCAACGCTGCTTAACTCATTACCAGTAGCACCGATCCCTTAACCGTATTTTAACCGTATAACATACTATCGTACATCACAGGAATTTTGAAAAAGATCATATTTTTCATTTTTGTATGGCACTGCTTTGTCGGCCAACTGCATCCTGCGGAAAGTGTCCACCCCATGTGCGCGCCCCACCCGTTCGGTCAAATGCCCCACTGTAGAAATCATCCCAAAGAAGCAAAATTTTCTCTTTTGCAAAACATTTGAACGCATTTGGTGGCAAGTCTGTGCTCCATCCAGGGAGGTTGGAATAGATGATAGAAGGGAAATAAAGTATTAGTTTAATCTGAACCAGGTATAACTACTGCGAGTTATTTCAGACTATTAACTCAGAAAGATAGTACTTTTACTTGTAGTAGTAGAAAGGAAAAGGAAGGCTATGCTCAAATATCAAAGTCATTAATAATTGAGCAACTTCCCTATTAATATTTTCATAGAGCAGACAAAGATACTTTGGACATCAATAATGTGCGTGCCTTTCCCATTACAGTGACTTGACGGAATATTCAATGTTACAATGTACTTGCCTTCTGTTTTGGATTAGATCCAAGAATTTTAGTGGATTCAGTTATACAGCAGGTCTGCAGCTATCCTAGCTGTACTGCCATAACTTATACGGGATTAGTGCTTAGTTATAGTTTTAATTTATTTCAACTCAGTGTTTCAACTTTCAATGAAGCAATCATCATTGCCCGAGCTGTGGTGCTGGGCATTTATTTTTCTGGGTGCCTACCATTGTTTAGTAGATGCAAATCAAGAGCATGATCGGATAACATACTTGCCAGGTCAACCAACAGGCAATGTTGGATTCAATCATTACTCAGGCTATGTGACCGTGAATGAGACTGCCGGGCGGGCACTTTTTTACTGGTTGATCGAGTCACCAGCCAGTATAAATCCTGAAAAAAGGCCACTCATTTTGTGGCTCAATGGTGGGCCCGGCTGCTCTTCCGTTGCTTATGGTGCTGCTGAAGAGATTGGGCCATTTCACATCAACCCTGATGGGAAGACTCTTTACCTCAATCCTTATTCTTGGAACAAGTGTATGATGATGAATCAATGTTGATGTTGTTTTAAGTTAGCTGTATGTGTGTTCCAAGATATTTTTCTGATGTGAACTCCTTAACATTTGTTCTGTCAGTGGCAAATTTGCTGTTTCTTGAGTCTCCAGCTGGTGTGGGTTTCTCGTACTCAAATACAACCTCAGATTTGCAAACCGGGGGTGATAACAAAACTGGTATTGCTTATTGCTGCATTCTTCTTTTTAGTTCTGATATGTTGATTTAATTTTTAATGTGTTTGACTTGGAACTCCTGTTTTGTAGCTGAAGATGCATACACATTTCTTCTTAAGTGGTTTGATAGGTTCCCTCAATACAAGCATAGAGATTTTTACATTGCTGGAGAAAGTTATGCAGGTTTGTAGCGGTTGACTTTCACACTCTTGATTCATTTACAACATATGATAAAAACAACAAGTCAACAACAATACATCATAATGTCATTACTATGAATGAAAACTTTATTAACTTATGCGTTGACCTTTTCAGGGCATTATGTTCCACAGCTATCTCAAATTGTCTACCAAAAAAACAAGGGAATCAAGAACCCCACTATTAATTTCAAGGGCTTCTTGGTATGACTATTGAACACTTGCAAGCTTCTTTCATTTTATGTACTCTCTTAAGCATCCCACATAAGATATTAAGTTGTTTACATGATTTGTGTCTGATATTTAAGTATAAGGTAATTCCACCTATTAAGGATGTTTTTGTGTGAGTTAAACACAATTTAATATTGAGTTCTTGTTTCAGTCCTTTTAAAGTTTGTTAATTGATTTGGAACCCAGTAATTTGGGTTGATGAGGTGTGTTAAGTGTTTCACATTGCATCTTTATTAGATTTGTGTCTATTAGAGATGGGCTTAAGAGGGGGGGCAGGGGCTCCCTTGGAACATAAAATTATTTAATACTACGTGTCTACGTACTACGTATATGATACTTGCATAAAATTTTAATACTTTCATAAGTTTCATAACTTTCATTAGACATGCACATGTTTGCTCCCCATAAAAGTTGTAAAGTTATAAGGAGAAAAAAAACTAAAATTTTTAATTTTTTAATTTTCTTCAGGAACATCAAAGTTAATAAATTCTTGATTTAAACAAACAAATAATAGAAAAACTCATTGATTGATGATTTACGAATTAGGATACTCAATATATAAAATAGAATACTATTTCTTGTAAAAATATCTTCAATAGATAAAATTTACATGATTTTGTAAATGTCAAGCAATATTAGAAAATACCATCGACTCTAGTTAAGTAGTTTTTCTGATGAAGTTCCACTGAATCCAAATGTAAGAGCTCATTTAACATTGAAATTAGGGCAAAATTATTTAGTTTCTGAGAATGCGCTATTTGATAAGCAATAAACTTATAATATCCTCACATGAGTACACGACATAGTCATATATAACATAAATCAATAGCATTTTATCAATACCACATAATATTATATTTAGAATCGATAATCTCATATGTATATTCAGAATCAATAATCCCATACATACTATTGTAAATTTATAAATATACAACTTTAACAACAAATATAATTCAAGAATTTGACTATTTATTCTAACAAGATTCATGTAGTTAAATAAAGAAAAAATTATTTAAAATAGTATAGGCTGGTGTGCACCAGTGCCCCTATTATACACTATCATTAAATAAATAAATTGATAAATCTTCTAACCAGTTTGTGATAATCAAATAATTTTTACTTTGATTTGGGATCACTTATGCCCTTTTTATAGCACTTGTATTATGAAAACTAAGTTATTCACTTCTCATTGTGTAAATTTAAGCTTTTAAATGTCCTGCTAAATGTTAATAGAAATTATTTTTTATTTCTCAATAAAAAGTATTCAGAGAGTACTTAATGTAAAAAAAAAGTATTCAGAGAGTACTACCAAAAAAGTTCCGCTCCCTTGGGCATAAACCCTGGGTCCATCCTGCTTCTTGATGATAGTTTTGGGTGAGTTAGACTTAATTTATTATTCTATGTTTAAAAAGCAAAGTTAGTTAAATTGGAAATGATATATAAGTAGGAGTTCATGGCTAAAAGAGTTGTAAAGTAACTAAAAATGACCCTCTTTATGGGGCAGAGGGACTCTGGGAGTAATGGTCTTCCAACTAGTTTCATTAATCATTGATACTCTTCCTTTTCATTTAACCTCTATTTTATTTTTTTAAAGGTGGGGAATGCAGTAATTGATGATCACCATGACTTAATTGGCACATTTGAATATTGGTGGACGCATGGTTTAGTCTCAGATTCCACATACAAGTTTCTGCAAAAAGCTTGTGATTCAGGATCTGCTACACATCCTTCAGAAGATTGTATCACGGCTCTTAATATTGCCCAACATGAGCTGGGAAATATTGATCCTTATAGCATATACACTCAACCCTGTGCTAATGCTTCATCGCTTAGGCACAATTTGAGGGGTCATTATGTGAGTAATTTCTTGTTCAACTTGTATTGCTCCCTTATCAGCTTCACAAATACCTAAGTGTTGTTTGAACCTTGGTGATAACACTCAAATGATGCAGATCAAGTAGATTGCAGATAGGCTGTTTTAATTGTCAGTTTGTCACATTTAGTGTCCGTTTTGCAGACTTTTTTCCAGCCTATCAGCCAAACCTGCCAATATTTCACTATTCCCTGTGTTAATCAGCTGATAATGAAAAAAGTAGAGTACAAACTACTCTTTTGGTTGAAATGGATTTAGTTATTAAAAATAACACACCAGCCTTCATTTTATTTAATGTTTTTAATTTATTCAGAAAATTGAGCAATTTCAGCCACAATTGCAGATGATTTAGGCATTTAGCCACTTCAGCCATTTTTTGCCTTACCAAACAAGCTCTTAATTACTACTCCCTCCGTTTCTATTTCTTTGACATTGTTTGACAAGTCAACATTTAAGGATTTTTTACCAAGGGGGCAAGGGGTAAATTTTACTGTTTGAAGTTTTGAACACTGTTTAGACACTGTTCGAACACTGTTTGGCACTGTTTGACACTGTTTTGTTTACCAAATGAGAAGTGTGGCATCCATTTTGACACTTCCAAAAAAGGAAAGTGTGTCAAAGAAATAGAAACAAAGGGAGTATAAATTTTGGAAAATCAAGTATACAGCGCTGCTGTTAAGGTTTCTAATTCTTTCATTTATCTCATTTCAATTGGGCTTCTGGTATTCTTCAAATGGCAGCCATGGATGTCCAGAGCTTATGATCCATGTACTGAGAGGCACTCTGAAGTTTACTTTAACCTACCAGAAGTGCAGAAGGCCTTTCATGCCAATGTAACTCAAATTCCCTATCCATGGAGCACATGCAGGCGAGTACCAGTAATTTAAAAAATTGGGTCCAACGTCATAATTTGTTAGCCTTAGCTAATTGGAAGTTCATTACTCTGCAGTGATGTTGTTAGTAACTACTGGGGAGATTCTCCTGTATCAATGCTTCCTATTTATAGGGAGTTAATAGCTGCTGGACTCAGGATATGGGTATTCAGGTATCATCTAAGCAGTTTTTTTTCTTTCCCTTCTTTCATGTTGCAATTACCTTTACAACACCATATTCGAGACCATCTGCATTCAAATATTGTTTTCATTTAAAATTCATTTGCACTTCATTGATCAAATTGAAATTGTGACACAATATGGAACTTGAGATCCATCCAAGTTCCATATTTCTGAATGTAGTCTTTCAGAGGACTTCAACTCTCATCATTACGACTTCCATGTCAACAAATATACTGCATATATGTTTTTCTGCTAAATTAGTAAGGAAAAGAAGAGTTTTTATGGGATAGAAGGAGTATTATATGAGTGATAAGAAAATAAATAAAGTTCCTGTTTGGTAGGTTTCTTTCCAGTGGCATAGCCCCCCCCCCCCAAAAAAAAAGAATTTGGGTTGGGTTAGATATTTTAATTAATTCATTATTTTTATATGAAAAAAATTACACACAAAGATTTATTTTACCGAACCTAGGTTCTCTCTATGCTTATCAGCAAGAATTTTTACAAATCACTAACTTATTTCACTTTGTTTGTTGAACCTGTTGAAAATGAAACAAGTAGTGCAAAAGTTACTCCACACTTTTTTGGCTTAAGTGGCTGAAATTATGAAATTGGCACTTTTTAGTTGTTTATTTTCTTTTAAAAATATATGCCATATATTTTAAATAATCATTTAGGCGATTAAAACTTCACATGCTTGAACCTTTTCTAGTTTCTACTAAATATATGCCATTGTTTTGGGTCACATAAGTCGTTTAAGAGCTTTTCGGTTCGCCTGAGCCTTAGGTGAATGTTTCAGACCTGAATTTGTAAGATTTGATCTAAATCTTTCTGATCTGATCCGAATCTTTGTGATAAGATTTGATCTGAATGTTTCTGATTTGATCAGGATCTTCTGATCTGAGCGAGTGTGTACTATTAATATTAGTTATGTTGTAATAATAATACTTATATTAATATTGATCAGCATCATCGTCATCATCAATATCACTACAATTATAATTATAATTATCATTATATTTATTGCTATCGTTATTTTTATAATTTGGATTATCATTAATATCACATCATCAATATGATTGTATTACTACTATTATTATTGTTATTATTAATAATATATATTTATAATACAAATACCAACAACCTACGTTTTCATTCTATTAGTAACTTCCAAATGATAATAAAAACAATAATAACATTAATAATAACAACAACAACAACAACAATAACAACAACAACAACAACAACAATAGTAACAATAATAACAATAATAATATGGTGCACTAATAATATTAATATATTATCATTCCTAATAATAGCAATAATGGTGTTATATATTTTTATACATCAGAAAGGAATAATGATATATTAATAACAATAACATACCAATAATGATAATATTAGTATTTATAATAATTGGACACACCCTACAATAATAACATACAAATAATAATAACAATTGCGACAACAACAATAATAATAGTGTGATAAGATTATTATTATTTTCAATATTAATAGCAAAGACTATAATTTACATTTATATTAATATACCAATAATATGATAATAATTAATAATAATAATGGTAGTGATAATAAAAATAACAACAACAACAATAAAATCATAATGGTAATGATAATTAATAATCATAATGATGATGATGATAGAAACAATAAATTATGTCTTGACTTTTCTGATATGATCATCTGATCGGAATCTTTCTGATTTGATTTGATTTGATTTTCTCTGATCTGATAAGAATAAATTAAGAATAAACGATAAGCCATAAAATTAAGATGAAAAGAATAGTTCCTTAGTCTAGGGAGGGGGGACATATTCAAACCAATTCCACTATCTAAAAAGAGGTGTAGCTCGTCGCTAGATTGCAAGACTTTAATGCTTTTACATTCTTTTTTTGTAAACATTCTTCTAAACCTATTATAGCAATTGCTCTTGTTAATGCCAACATCCTTGATTGGGATGAGACTCGAACCTGCGACCTCCTCTTTAGGAGATCAACAGTGATGCCATTAGACCACAAGGTCTTTGGCATGCTTTTACCTTTTTATGTGCAACAAAGCGAATTCCTTTGAATATTATACCTTAGTAATGCTGCAAGTTAAAGTATATCCAGAGGATTGTGGCTCAAATTAGACACATATGGCTCCAAAGAGTTGACATTGTAAGGGGTAAAGGATCAAGAGGTGGTGTTAGAATTTTGTAATTTCAATGGTCACACATAAATAATTTCCTCAAGCATTGGTGCTGTTAGAATTTTGACTTTGTTCTTTTTCCTGCATCTGGTGAGATTTAAAAATGAGAGAAAATCTTTTTCAAAAAAGGGTACATGCAAAAGTTATTTAATACGGAGTATGCTTTATTTACCACATTTTTCCTTTTGTTTTTGCAGTGGGGACACTGATTCTGTGGTTCCAGTAACTGCAACTCGGTACTCCGTTGATGCATTGGAGCTTCCAACAATTACGAACTGGTACCCTTGGTACGATAATGGAAAGGTTGGTAAAAAGAAAGTTTTTCTTTTCTTTACACAGACAGGTTCGTGCTCTTTGTTGCGGTCAGTTGTAATCCTTATTAATAACTACTACTACGATAAATAAGCCCATTTAACTTGACAGTTTACTTATGGTGGCTTGCGACAAGTCGTTAACCTTATTATTAAGGCCATAGAATGCTATTTCATATTAGCAACCTGCAGAAGAAACAAATTAAAAGTGTTATGTTGTCAGATGGACCGAGGCTGTGTTTTTCTCTGCTTATGTTCTCTTCGCTCTATTAGGTCGGGGGATGGAGCCAAATATACAAAGGGTTGAGCCTTGTGACTGTAACTGGGGCAGGGCATGAGGTACCATTACATCGCCCACGGCAATCTTTTATTCTGTTGAGGTCATATCTGGAGAACAGACCCATGCCAAGCTCATAACCCATTCATTCTTTCATTTATCACAAGCATCCAATGCCAAAGGTTTGTATTTTATGTATTGTTTCGAAATTGCCAAAGAAGACTGATCACAAATCCAACAATGTTCCATTTACAGTGAATTTTAGATTACTTATTATATGTGCTGTCATTGAATTTTAATTGACAAAATGTAAGTAATCTATTTATTTCTTGGTGTATATGAAGAAGTGATTCAACTCTGTTCAATTTCGGAATGATGAAAAGTGATTCATTTTAACAAGGTCTTAGAAAAAGGCTCATAAATTTGGTGTAAGGTTTAAAAGTGGAGTTAGGTTTTCCGCAGCATTGATGGACTGGATGCCCAATGTTATGCACAATTTATCGTTTTGCATAAAATGATAGTTCTGCATAACTTTGATCATCAAGTTGGAACGGTTGGATCAAACTTTTGGGGATATAGGCTCGGAAAAATTTTGTTCATAAAATTGTAAATCAGAATGTAAGACACCATTTGTATTGGAGGCCAAAAGGGCCAAAAGTGATCACTCTAAATGTTTTTCGCGCATGTAGAGGGTTAAAATAACATTGTTTTGATACATCTTCTCGCAACATTAAAATTGTAAGAAGTTAAAATTCGAGCCGAGAGCCTGAGAAACAATGGAGGTACTAGTGACTTTATAGGACAAGATTCTAATTCAATTTTAATTTTAATTACATACATTCATCTATGCAGGGGTTAAACTTTTATTATGATATACGCAGCACGCCAGCACTAGCAATCCACATAATGAAAATTCATATGCAATATATGCACTAACACACGTTTCGTTTCCCTAATTTCATTTCCCTATTTTACAAAGGGCTTTGTTGCAATATGTGGAAGGTCCCAAGCTCGAAACTTCATGGAAACGGTTTCACCCACATTTACTCTAGGCTCCCCTCCCCTTGACCCCTTCCATCACTTTCCACCTCCACCACTGAGCATATAAACTTTCATTAAAAACAAAACGGGTGATGATTGATGAATTTGATGACACGACTACCTCGAGAAAGTTGTTTTTTCAGAAACTTGTTTTTGCACATTCTTAGAGCATTTTCAATAGGGTAGTGAATTATAGTGAAGTCTATTCTACAGAGAAAGTGGTATGTAGGAAAAATGAGAAAGAGGAAAACGATATAAATAAATTATAGACAATGTCTATGACAATGTCTACAAATGATCTTTACACAGAATTAAGAAGCAAAAATAGACAAAAAGTGAGTGAAAAGTGATACACACAAAATGAAATTAAAATAAATATGGAATTATTAAGTGCTACATATAAAATTTGTGAGATAAAAATGAAACTTATGTGAATCCGATTGTAAAAATGGCGTGAAAGAACACAACAAAAAACAGTATTTTTCGACTTCTAGATATTTGTACTGTCCTTTGTATATAGATAGGTGACACAACCAACATGCTTCTCATTTCTCAACGGGTCGTTTGGATCGGTTTCAGATTCGGATTTTGAAGCAAAATTTTATTCCACTACTAAAATACTACGTATATAGTACGTGGAATAAGGGGAATCAATCAATCTGATCAACAGGAATAAAAAGCAAAGCTGATAGAATAAGAATCGAACATCAATTTATCCTATTTTATTCTCTTCTCCAACTTCCTTTCTTCTAAATATTAGAAAAATGGGAACAAGAATCGGCAGTACAATAACAAATTAACCACAATAGTTTTGATAATAATCATTGTAAAAATTTATTCTACTAATCTATTGTTTCCCTGATCTACTTTTTCCTGTTAAGCCATTCAGTTTATTGAGAATATATATACTCTCTAAAAGTCTTTGTAATAATCTAATACTCCTTTCGTCTCACTTAAAGTTTCCACGCGATTTACGATGTTTGACTGAGCATAGGGTTAATTGATCCCTTTCATTAATAAGGTTATTTTCAGTAAATAAAATTTACATATTCAGAAACTACATTAAAAGTTTTATAATTCCTGATCAAGAAAAATTAAATTTGATAAAAGTTGGATACATAAAATAAAAGATTAAGAACAATTCATGTTGACTAGAGAATTGTGGACGAGAACCTTTAAATGAGATGAAGAGAGTATGTATACTGGTCAAGTATCTTGTGATTCAACAGTATGACTCTAACACTCTAAAAAAGGAAGGCATAAGATCGAAACTCATTTCAGTCAACTATCTTGACATTTAACTATAAACAAATACTATAAGAGCATAGAATACACACTAAAAATCTAATATGTTATATGTGTAGTTACATTAGAATGAAGTAAACAAATGTTAAAATATAATTTGTCCTAAATTTTCCACTTTCTTTTTTCGGTCACACGGAAATTATTTCTCATTTCTTTTTAACAAAAACATTAGGTCAATGTTATAATTTCTTAATTAACTTCTCTGTATAAATTTCGAACACACGAATTTCTTTTAAAATTTCGTGCATGCCGCATAAGTAAAGAGCACTCCAGCTCTAATATTCCTCAAAAAAGGTTCTAATATTCCCCCAAAAGGAACCAAACAGTTCTAAAATTCTTATCTACAAATTCTTTGAACTCTTTGTTACACACCTCTAATCTAGAGAGAAACAAAGCTCAATATCGAATAGAAAACGTATAGCACTTGGCAAAAATAATTTTTCTTCCTTTTTTCTAAATTAAAAGAAAGAAAGAATAGGAAGAAACAATAATATGTACAATAGATTAAGCAACACTGTGATAGGCTTCCTCAACCTCTTCACCCTCCTATCATCAATTCCGATCATCGGTGCCGGATTATGGATGGCGAGGAGAAGCCCAACATGCGAGAAATTTCTCCAAACGCCGCTCCTCGCCATCGGTCTCGTTATCGTCGTGGTCTCTCTCATCGGTTTTATAGGGGCATGCTTTCGCATTGTATGGGCAATATGGTTGTACCTTGTCATCATCTTGCTCATCATAGGGGCACTTTTGGCATTCACCATCTTCGGGTTCGTCGTCACCAGTCCGCATGGTGGCGTGGCGGTTCCCGGGAGGCTGTACAGAGAGTACCACCTGGAAAACTACTCGCCTTGGATGAGGGGTAAGGTGAGGGACCCTCATTCTTGGGTGAGCATAAGGGCTTGTATTTTGGGTTCCAAGACTTGTGCTAGTGTTGCTACTTCCTGGACTTCTTATAACTTTCTTTTCAGAGATATGTCACCCCTACAGGTAGGTATGCCAAATGGCAAATGCTTATTCATATTTTGAAATAACAGCAGCATCATCATAATTTCTACTACGAAGTATTATTATTAAAATTATTTGTAATTATTATTTTGTCTTCTATCTCCTTGTTACCTTTAGGAGTATTGTTTTATAAATTTTGTTATTGCACTCGAATAAATTCCTTAGTATAGTTTTTAAATATGTCTTTTAATTATTAAGCTAAATTCTGTGTTATTAGGTAAATATTTTCTTTATTATTTAATTTAAACGTGTAAATTAAACTTTCATATTTATTAAAAATGGAACTGTAATACGGAGTATTTCGTGTAGTAACACGTTGCAAAAAAAAATCGTGTAGTAACACTGCAAAATAGATTAAGCAGACCACGTTATTTGTAATTACAGATTTACAGGAAAGTAAACTAGCTTGGGGCGGAGGAAATATATTTGATTATAAAAAAGATTCTCTCTAGACTAGAGTTGGCTTTAGGTCTCTCACTCTCATTATTAATTCTGGTTGAAACTTGAAAGATGTGTAGTTGAGGTTAAAGTGGTATATTAGGGGGTGTTTGTAATTTATGTTGCTTCTGCTTCTTTTTCAAAAGCAGCGGAATCAGTTTTTTCGGAAGCTGGTCTCCTCGAACTTTTAGAAAACTGATTGTAAAAATAATTTGGAACGTAACACACAAAAGTACTTTTGTATTTTTCACCCAAACGCTTAAATATCTGTGTTTGCTTTCTGAAAGAGTAGATGCAGTTTTAAGAAGCAGATCCAAACATCCCCTATATTATGGAGATAATTATGGAATAGATGGAAGAGACTTTTTCTCAAACATTAATCAATCAAATAATTTATAGACAATAAAAAAGTTACAATTATAGTCCTCACATGTGAATAGTACATATGCATAAAATATACGGAGTAACATAGTTCCTCAATATGTGAGTAAAATATAGAGTCGCATAGTTCCTTAAATATGAATGTAATTGATTAAAGGTAAATGAATGTTAGCTACTTATCCACACAAAACCTTTTAAAAAGGGAAATAGAAAGAACTTTTTTTAACTCCAGGGGGCCTGGGGGAGGGGTCTGGGGGTGCCTGGAGTAATAGGGGCTGAAACTCACTCCATTGAATTTCAACCCCTATGTGCCTAGTGGGTTTCGAACTCGAGACCTTTCACTAGGCACGGTAACCTTTCAACCAGCTGGGCTGGAATGTTTGGTTTAGAAAGAACTATTTCGGTTGATGGTTTCATTAAGATTTTCCCGCTAAGATTGTCTCATTTACATTTTTGATTTGTTCCACTCATATTGACCAAATTTGTTAAAGTTTGTGTTGTTCTAAATCATTCTTATTTTATTTTTGTTTTATCAATTAAATATCAACCACATAAACCATTTTAAAGCTTGAGTGTCACTCTCTATTGTTTCATTATATTGTTAGTTGGATGTGGGGAATAGTAGGTGGAAAGAATTTGGTAGAAGGGAGGAAGTATAATACTTTAGAAATTATAAACGGAGTATAATATGAGAAATTATTAAAAGATGAGTGTAATTTTTGTTCATAGGTTAATCATAATTTTTACCAGGAATAGTTGTTTAATTTCAAATAATCATAATGATTAACAGTCCGGGTGTTGCAAGCCACCAACATCGTGCAACTATGCAGAAACAACGGCTGCGGATTGTTACCGGTGGAGCCCCGACCCGAATTTGCTCTGCTACGGCTGTGATTCATGCAAGGCGGCGGTGGCGGAGGAAATGAGCAAACACTGGAAAAAGGTTTCCGTCGTTATCATCGTCGTCCTTATATGTCTCATCGCCATCTACTCCCTGGGCTGCTGCGCTTTCCGGAACGCCAGGAGGGCCGAGACTGATTTCGAATATGGCATAAATCGGATGTCCAAAGTCCAGCCCAGATGGGATTTCCATTGGTATGTACTCCATTTCTATTTTATTCCTCCATCCCTTTCATAAATTTTTTTTCTAATTGTGGTTGAGTAAAAAAAATGTAAATGAATATTCGACACAAAATACTTTTCAAAAAGGGAAATGAGAAAAAAAAATTGGGGCATTACA